GTAACTTAAGGTCAAAGCTAATGATGGTACCAAGTTGGTAATGACTAGTGACAAGTCGGGCCAGTTAAGGATCGTGTGAGATATAAAATATCAACGAAGATCGAATAGGGATGTGAGGCATTCTTTTCTCATGTGATCTATACCCGAATTTCAGTTCCAACACTTGAGGATATTTGAGCAATGCGAGATTTCCTCGATGTGTTCCTAGAAGAATTTTCTGGTTTGCCACCTGACCATGAATTAGAGTTTGGTATCGAGGTAGTGTCGGGTATAGTTACGGCGTCCAATGCTCCCTACCGCATGGCACCAACAGAACTGAAGAAGTTAAAGGCCTAAATTCAAAATTTGATAGAAAATGGCTTCATTCGACCAAGCATATCACTGTGGGGAACGCCGATCTTTTTTTAAGAAGAAGTATATGTCGATGAGGTTGTGCGTCGACTATAGGCAGTTAAACAAGCTAACCATCAAGAATTGTTATCCATTCCATAGGATAGATGACCTTTTTGATTAGCTGAGGGGAGCAAGTGTGATCTCTAAAATCGACTTGCGGTTAGGTTATTATCAATTAAAAGTCAAGGATGTCGATGTAACGAAAACATATTTTAGGACAATGTACTATCATTATGAGTTACTGGAAATGTTATTTAGACTCACCAACGTCCCCAGAGACATTCATGGACCTGATGAACCAAGTCTTTCACCTATACCTAGATCGGTTCATGGTGGTATTCATAGACCACATTCTAGTGTACTCTCGATCAGATGAAGAACATGACCAACACCTCCGCATTCTCCTACAGACATTTCAAGACCGAAAGTTGTATACCAAATTTGGTAAGTGCAAGTTTTGGATGCTATAGGTTTAATTCCTAGGTCATGTCATGTCAGCAGATGGAATCCGAGTCAACCCTCAAAAGATTCAGGCCATTATTAAGTGAGAGCCACCTAAGAACGTGTCAGAGGTGCAGAGTTTCCTAGGTCTAGTGGAGTATTATAGTCAGTTAATTCAAGGCTTCTTATAGTTGTCCCGTTGACCAAATTGCTTCAGAAAGGAGTTCCCTTTATATGGGATGAGAAGTGGCATAAGAGCTTCGACCAGTTAAAGACCATCCTAACTTAGGCTCTAGTGGTAACTCAACCAGAGTCGGGTAAGGATTTCATAGTTTTCAGTGATGCATCATTAAATGGTCTTGGATGAGAGTTAATATAGGAGGGTAAAGTTGTAGCTTTCGCAACTCGTCAGCTTAAACATCAATAAAAGAACAAAAAAAATAGAGAGGAGTTATACAAAGCATTGTATTTTTTTAATTAATAGAAAGCATCGTAATTCGAAGAATAAAGGTAATAAAAGATAAATTTTGGCTGAAGGTATTTCTCTATTTTATTTTTTTTATTTTGCTTATATTTTTGTGCTTTTCGGTCTACCTCGACCTTGTCTTATTTGAAAATTCATCTATCGAATGAGATAAAATAGATGAACAAGGAAAAGGCTATCGAATAGATCTTCTTAAATCTAGCATTCCTTGAGGTTTCTTGATGAAAACCATCGGTAGATAAGAAGAGAGCTTTTTGAGAGTTTGTTTTAATATAGAATTGATTTTTTAAATTTTATTTACTTTAATTAGTAACCTCAATTTTAATTACAATTTAACTTTTTTAATTTACTTAAAACCTGTCTCTTGCCACTTTAATTTATTATTTTTTTCCCTTTCATTGACGTCTAATTTCATTTGATGCATTTATTTTCTCAATTAATTTGGATTTATTTCCATTTTATTTATATTTATATTTTAAATTTGTTTCGATCATGTTATTTTTCCCCAATTTGTTTCAACCTTTTGTTTTTCTTTAGTACGATTAATTTATTTTTAGATTTTATTTTCTTTCCATTTTATTTCAATATAATAAAAGTTTTTTTTGAATTTATTTTATTTTATTTAGTATTTAAACTATCTTATTTATTTTTTATTTTCCATATTTGGGCCTTTTAAGGTTTGTATATTCATATTTCTAGTATTAATTCTAATTTTTATGTGTGTTTCTTGTGACTTTTTTTTACCTTATGTTTACAGATTATAGCTAATAACCTTTAATTTTTATTATTAAGACAATTTGTAACCGTGTTGGTATCAAAAAGGCGATGTAAGATGTTTATCGTTATCCACACATAATTGACTCTCGAGCTCTTTAACATGAATTTTTGATAATACGGAGATTCGATAAGAAAGGTAATTTTAGGTATCCTACCTTACCTATTCAAAAAGTTAGTAGCGACTCTAAAAAAAATAAACCATTAATTTTAAGTTGAGTCTCAATAAATATAATATTAGGTATTCGACCTTACGTATACTTTTTTCACTAAATTTAAACAAGGCTTAAGGACTACTTTTGTCGTTGCAGTAGACCCAATTTATCATTTTTTTCCCATATGATTTTTTGCCTCAATTTAGCACTCGAAGTTGTTTATGGTATTCATCCTAGCCCTTGAAGTCCGTTGATCGTTTTAACAAATAAAATTATAAGTCTTCTGCGTTTGTGGATTAATAGATTAGATTAAAATATTTATTAAACACAACAATTAAAACAAATTCAAAAAATTTAATTATTTATTTCAGTGAGATTAAGGGATTGGGGCAAATTTTTTAAGTTTTTTCTAATCGTTGTATTTAGTAAATATTTAATTATTTATTTTTTATAAATGTCACGTCGTCATCAAGTGAAGTCAATAATATTGACTCATCTGAAAATTATTGGCATTGATTAACGCAAAAGATTAATGGTTTTGTTGGTCAAAATGGACTTTTGAGAGTTAAATTGATGCAGAAAAAAATCATATGGACGAAAATGATAAATTTAATATACTAGAGGGGCAAAAGTAACTTTTAAATCATTAAAAATGTAATATTTGACCATTTTCATTTTTTTAATTAAGATGTGGTCAATAATAATTAATTATCGTTAAACTTTTAATGAATTGCTGACGTAACACAGTAAATATATAAAATTTAAAGGCTAAACTACACAAATGACTATTAATGTTTGATTAAATTTACGTTCATTAAAGTTTCAAAAGTAATAATTAGCCGCTAAAACTTGTAGATTACATTAATTTCAATTGTCTTGGCAAGCTAAAAGAGGTCTTTCAGGAAATGCGAAGTTATAGTTGATTACCTTAATTTCTATTGTCTTGGTAAGCTGGAAGAGGTCTCAGGAAATCTGAAGTGACAGTAACTCGATAAAAACTCAATTTAGGTAGATTCGACTCGAGACCTTAACGAATTGAGTTGAGTAAAATTCAACTCGACTCAATAAATTCGAGAGCAGCTAGTTAATGTTTTATTAGTTATCTTAAAAAATTATTTCATTAAAAATTACTAATTTACTAACAAATGATAAATGACTAACCTATTAATTTTAATAAAAAATACTAAATTATTAATTAATAATTATTATTTTACAATACCTAAAAATTAAATCCTAATTATTGTTTTAATGTATTTGTAACTTGTTATTTTGGAGTTTAGACTTTCAATGTGTTTCATACACTCTTTTGATAATTTATTTTGTTAAATTTATCAATTTATGTTTATATTAAGTTTTATATAGTATTAGTAGATTTTACATATAGTTAAAACTAAGATAAAAAAACTTTGGTGAGTTTAACGAGCAACAAGATGAGTAACGAGCTTAACAAGTACGAGTTTAGCAAAAAAAATTAACGAGTAAGAGTTGAGCAAAATTTTAATGAGCTTAATGACTAAAAAATTAATGAGCTTAACGAGTAACGAGTTGAGCCGAGCAATAAAATTTTTAACGAGAATGAGTTAAGCACTGTCCAACTCGCGATTGACTTGCTCGATAAGCATTTCTAGTTGTTGAGCCTAGGCAATCAGGGCACTTGCCTAGGGCTAAAAAATTGGGTAAATTACATATTTAGTATTCCAACAATTTTTTCGGAAATCATACTTAACATTTAGTTTTAGTTTCATTTAGTATTTTATTGATCAATTTGTAATTTTTCAAATTTTAGTAGTAAAAATAAAGATTTACTCAAATATTAATTATTATTGATGTAGTTTAACCTTTTTAACATTATATATTTAGACATTTAATCTTAGTAATTGTATATCCGTTAAATAAAAATAATAATTAAATATTATATTTTTCAAATTCAACTTATATGAAACTGTTTTACTGAAACTTACACCAAAATGATTAATCTTATAATTTAATTTTTAATATATTCCGCGTTTCATTACCTTTGTATATTTCCATCGCAAGTCATTCCAATCTCCTACCTTCCCCCACACCTCTAAATTATTATTATTATTATTATTAGGATAAAGTATACAAATGGTCATTGAACTTTTTAAATACTTGCATTTAGGTCTTCTAACTTTAAAAATTTGTAATAAAGTCATCAAACATTTAGTTCGTTTGCAATATGGTCCCCGACGTAACGGCCGTTTCACTTCCGTTATTGTAAATTATATAAATGGTCATTGAACTTTTCAGGCCCTTACATTTTGGTCCCTTAACTTATTATTCACTTATAGTTAGTTAAATTTTTTGAAACGATTATGTTTTGAGGGTTTAGGGTTGTTGCTTCAAGTTCAATTTGTTATGGTAGATTTTGAGAATGGATTATGAATTTGGGGTTGGGCATGTAATTGAAGTATTTTAGAATTTGAGGTTTAGAATTTAATTGAAGTATTTTGGAATTTGGGGTTTAGAATGTAATTGATGATTGTGTTGTAAGTTTTAAAAGTTGGGAGCCTAAATACAAGAGCTTGAAAAGTTCAGTGACCATTTATATAATTTATCCTAACGATAGTGAAACGGCCGTTACGTCGGGATCATATTGCAAACGAACTAAATGTTTGGTGACTGTATTTCATGTTTTTAAAGTTTAGGGACCTAAATGTAAGCATTTGAAAATTTTAGTGACCATTTGTATACTTTACCCTTATTATTATTATTATTATTATAGAAAGCAATTTTTTTTCTTTTCGTATAATTTCATCTGTGAGAACTTTGAATCAATTTCCTTGGGGCTTTTATATCGTTTTGGGATGAATTAAGGTAAGGGTTTCTTCGTTTTCTTTCTATCTTGATCATCCGTTTCGTATGTTCTTTTACCGCCTTTGTTGTTTGCATAGAAAGCAGATGAGAATTAAATAAGTTTTTTATGTTTTCCGTTTTTAATGATGAAGATGTGTTAAAGTCCATGTTTTTCTTTTTCTTCGGTGGGCTCGATTTTGGTTGGATTTAGGTGTTATACTGGGGAAAAAGAATGTTTATTACTGATAAATTGGATAGCAATATAATTAGTTTCTGATTCAATTGTTTTGCAGTGAATAAAGTTTAGTTCTCTTTGCGCGCGTGTCCCGTTCTCTTCTCCATCCCTCCAAACCTCAAACACAGAAACCCTTTTTCATTCGATCCCAAATTGACCTTTTTTTTCAGTATTAGTAACATACCGAGTCTTGCCTACATGGAGGTTAAGGTATGGAACGACAAGCGCGAAAGAGAAATGTATGAGAACTTTGCAGAGCTGTATGCCATTATCAAGGCAACAGAGAAACTCGAGAAGGCTTATGTGAGGGATATTATTTCATTATCTGAATATGAGACTGAGTGCCAAAAGCTTATTGCCCATTTCAAAACCTTGGCCTCTACTCTCAAAGATAACGTCCCCAGCATTGAGCGCTTCGCTGATACATATAAAATGGACTGCCCATCTGCTATAAATCGTCTAGTGACTTCCGGTGTGCCTGCCACTGTGGAGCATTGTCCTGCGGCAGCTGCCTCTGCAACTACTTCTGCTGCTATTGTGGCCGAATGTGTGCAGAATTTTATTACTGCCATGGATTCATTGAAACTCAATATGGTGGCAGTTGATCAAGTGTATCCTTTGTTGTCTGACCTCTTCGCATCACTCAATAAGCTTGGTATTTTGCCACCTGATTTTGAGGGGAAGATAAAGATGAAGGAATGGATCTCAAGGTTGTCTAAGATGGGGGCTGCAGATGAGTTAACAGAGCAGCAAGCCAGGCAGCTACACTTTGACTTGGAATCTTCATACAATTCATTTATGGCTGCTTTGCCTAACGCTGGTACTTGAACTCTAGCAGTAATCCAATATGCCATATTTTTGTTTAGTGCTTCAATCTGGTGGATTCCCAGTAATGTGTCAAAACAGTGTTTTAAGTTGGTAACATTGTATTCATTTTGAGAGTTCTTGGATTGTTTAAGCTCAAGATGCTATTGTGTGATGATTGTCATTCTATTAGAATGGATATGTGCTTTGGTTTGGTTTTTGTAATTTTAAGATAATCCCTTTTCTTGATTGTTTGTCTTGTATATAAAATTTTTTATCCAATATATAGCACAAAGTTTTGATGTCTGGTGTACTTCCCACTCGACCGCGGGCATTTGTTTTCATAGATGAATAAGCAAGCCAGTGAAATATCATTTATCAAGGGGTGTCAAACAAGCTTCCACAAATGCAGATATCTTTCTTAACGTTGTTCATTTGTGTTTGTTTAATGGTCTTTGCATTCGCAGTTGTTTTTTGCTTTCTTCCTTCTCAACATCTTCAAAGAATTTAAACGTATCATTTCCATCTTCCATGTTATCTAAGGTAGGTCTTTGCCTTAGGTTTTTGTATTCCTTGAGCGAACTTGAGATGAAATCATTCATCTCTTGACTGAAAATGTTTTACAAATTACTCCACTTTCTTGAATTGCTACTTTTCGTAATATTGATGAAGTTGATTGAGCTATATATGAATTAATCTAATACTAAGCTATAACCTTTTGGAGTTGCTGGGATACTTGAGGCTTTGTCTTCCTGTTCATCAACTGCTATTGGGAAACCAGGAGAAAGCTAGGGTTTGAGGAAAGGGCATTAGAGAGGCATAGGCAACCTGAAAAAGGTATACCATTTGAGTTAGTTTGAGAACAATAAATGAAACCCTTTAGAGTGGATACTGATATATATAGCTTGATAATCTGGTCATCCTTTTTTTTATCAGTCAAAATCCATCTCCAAGATAGGTAATGGACAATGGAACATGGAACAGTGATGTGCAGGTGGTTGATGTGGGTGCAGATGTTTTAATAGGGAAAATATCTACTTGTTGGCTACTGGCTCTAAGGTGGTTGTTGACACTGCCACACTGGTGCTGATTTTTTCCTCTAGTGCCTCATCCAGGTTGTCTGAGTAACTTTTGGATTACCATTATCGCCAAAGCTGAGCATGTAGTGGATGGACCGAGCGAAATTTTAATTGTGTTGTTTGGAAGTATAGATATACACTTTCGATCTCCAGAATGGACTATGTAACATACTGCCAGAATCTGGTCCTAAGTGCGGTTGGATATTGAAGTGGAGTTGACATTTGAAAGATGAAAGTTCAGGATCACTGTGATTTTAGGATCATCATCTGCAATTTTTTTTGCGGGGCGGGGGGGCGGGGGGGGGGGGGGGTTTGAACTGCCTTCTCCTTCATCTAATACTTCAACGGGCAATCCACTCCACTTTAAAATGTTAAAACAATCTTCAAACTGACACAAAAGTAAGAGATTGGTTTGGGACGATAACTCTTGCTTACTAGAAGACCAACACTGGTGCCAACTATGCTGTAAGTTAGTTTATTCAATTAAAGAGATTTCAACAAATTGTGAATATCATTTCACAACCATATATCAAGCTTGAATGAAAAACAAGCAACTCCCCTGAACTTTCGAGTGTTGCAGCAAAAGATGTTTTATGGTGGAAAAGTAGACGAATCATTTCGAATTCTCTAAGAATATTCTTTAATTTTTTGGATTACTGGAGTCTATTAAAAAAAACCCCAATACCTATACAGTAATTTAAACCCAAACCTCTCCCATGGGAAGAGGAAACAATGGGGCATTTGTGGAGGGATTTTACCTTATATCCAGGCAGGTAAATTATTTGTCCCAATATATTAACAAAGATTTTAATTTGGAATCTACGATATTTGTTACAGTAAAGGGTAAACTCATCACTTCGAGGTGACGAGTTTACTTGAAAATATTTTTTATTAGTCTCAAGTTTTGGGCTTCAAGTGGGTTAATATTTTAAAATTTTTATCGGGACTCTTGACGTTGAGGTGACGAGTCTATTGATAATTTAATTTTTATATTTACTAATTAATTTAATTTATAAAAAAATCTTACAAATCTCGTCACGTTGCGGAGACGAGTTTTCCTTGAATTTAAAAAAATATATTTGTTGTGCAACGAGTAGCTTTTGAACTTTTAAAAAAAATTAATCGTTGAAACTCATCACGTTAACTCAAATATAATTTTAAAAAATATTAATTAAAAATAAATATTAAAAAAACACCTTAGCCTCGGTAGAGTCGTTAGTCACATGAAATTCAAACTCCAACCAAGTGATACGTATCTGATACCCCTCTAAGACCTCTGATGGTGACATCTTTCCCAAAACTTGGTGAACAATTTCAAATTAGCCGAAACTATTGTGTCTCACTAACACCGCACCATTAACCAAAATATCGAGTCGGTAATTGACATCTTCCAACGTGATTGCCACTTCACCACTCGAAAAATGGAAATTATGTGTCTTTGGCCTCAAACATTCAATTAGAGTTGTAATTAATGTCGGGTTCACCTTAAAACCACCCAAAAATATTGTTGGATATAGCCCAAATTATTGCAAATATATAATAATCCGTTGATGTGGATCTCTAAGAGTCATTTCTCGTTGAAGAACAATATGTTCTTCTTTCACACCAAGCTCGAGCGAATAAGTATGGATAGCCCAAGGTGTAGCATTTCATCACATGTAGACATTTTTCGGAAAATTTCAAAATATTAGAATTTTTTTCTTAACAAAACACAATAAAAAACCTAAATCTCAAACCCCCATTTATAACCCCAACCTCAACGGTCATAAACAACTAGTTTTTTCAAAAATCTCATAGAAACTTGATACCTTGAGGTAATGAGTTCCTTGTTGACTGTTGTAATATGATTGTTGCAAAAGCCCGTTATGCAACAGCTACAAACAACTAGCTTTTTTAAAATTCAAGGCAAACTCGTCACCTCAACGTGACGAGTTTACTTTTTTTAAAATAAAAAACATTCTTTAAATTATGTAATTAATATAAAAAAATTAAATTCTCTACTTGTCACCTCGACGTGATGAGTCCAATTAAAAATATTAAAATATTGGTCCACATGAGATCCACATATATGAGTTCATTAAAAATATATTTTCAAGCAAATTCGTCACTTCAACGTGACAAGTTTATCTTTTACTGTAGCAAATGTCGTAGATTCCAAATGGTTTATTGGGTCAAATAATTTATCCACATGGGATATTGGGCCAAAAAACCATTTGCTGAAGCCTTGGGCACAACCCATAAAGAAGGAAGCTTTCATGAGACCCAATAGATGGTCCACACTCGAAGGAAGCTTTTCATGTTATAAGGTGGTATTTTCTCTCATAAATGGAGATTCAGAGAGACAGGGAGATCATGTTGTATTAAACATCCTTATGTCAACGTGTTCTCTACCATAAATTATCCCCCATGCTAGTTTCGCTCAAAAGGATTGGCAGAGATCGAGTCCTCTGATTTTCGCCCTCAGGGTGCCCCACAACACCAATTGTTTTCATTTTGTCAGCCTAAACCACGATCGTTGTAACAATCTTTCATAAACAAATTTACCATCTTTTAGCTTTTCCATAGATATTGAACCCCATCTTCAGTGGCTTGTCCACTAGAACACCGGGCCATATGCCCCTTTCAACCTCCTATCATCCACAAGCTTTGCCAAGAGTTTAGCTGTCTTCATTACATTGTCTCTTGTAAAGAAGAGGATCACGATCTTGTTCAGCAGTACCACTAAACTTGGATGTGGTGAAGTTGGTCTTCTCCGTCGCATCGTAAGGTTCAATGTGGTGAAATCGGTCTCCTCCAACATCACCTCGTCTTCCAAAGTCACCACGTGAGGCAAGGCCAGGAATCGATCCATAACAGACCATGGTCTTGGCTAAAATCTTCGCCTAGTCGTTTTCTATCAGAAAAACATTTCTTTCCGGATCATGACATTCAAAATATATTCGAATCTCATTGATGGACAATTCCATATCTACTAAAAGATTCAAGCTAAAACATAGCATAAATCAACAGTAGAACAGTGAAGAAAAGTAGATAATCTTTTATGGAGCAATTGTGCAAAACACGTAATTAAATGGGAAAATATGTTCAAGAACATTTAACTTATAAAGCTAAATAGGAAAACAAAAAAGTAAACAAAGAAGAAAAGGAGAACGTTTAATCAGACTTGAAAAACAGTAAAAACACTGGCCTCGATTATCTTCGAAAATGTAATCTCATCAAAGGAGGTCGGCGACATTCGATGGCAACTCCTCAAAGATTACATTGTAGAACTTCTGGATATCAAACAGCAATCTCTCATCGTCTAGAATCACAAAGTTAATGGACACACCTTTTCTTCCAAACCTTCCACTTCATCCGATTCGGTGGAGGTAGTTCTCTGGTTGTGTGGGCAGATCATAGTTTATGACAAGAGAGGATTGCTGCACGTCAATACCACGGGCCAAGAGATCAGTAGTGATGAGAACACGAGAAGAACCAGAACGGAATTCACGCATGATGACATCACGAGTATTCTGGTCCATGTCTCCATGGGTGGCAGAAACTGTGTAGTCTCGACTTCGCATCGTGTCGGTTAGCCAGTCAACCTTGTGCCTTGTATTCACGAAAATGACGCTTTGGGTAATGGCTGGGGTCTTGTAGAGATGCAGAGTGTTTCGAGTTTCCATTCTTCGTTCTCAACATTCACATAAAACTGCTTGATACCCTCCGGGGTTAGCTCATCACGCTTAACCAAAATTCTGACAGGTTTATTCATGAACTTCCGAGTTATCTCAAGGGCTTCGGGCGGCATTGTAGCAGAAAATACCCCAGCCTGAATCATTCCTGGAAGAAGCTGGAAGATGTCGTATATCTGACAGACATGACAACATTATATGAGAAAAAAATATCAAAAACCAAAGATTGCAAAACTCAAAATAATTGTTACATAGATAACAAACCTGATCCTTAAAACCATTCCAAAGCATTTCATCAGCCTCATCCAAGACAAACATCTTAATATAATCGGGACGAAGTGATTACCTTCTCAACATATCAAAGACACGTCCGGAAGTACCAACAACAACATGAACACCACTTTGGAGAATGCGCTGATCCTCTTGTACACTTGTCCCACCTACACAAGCATGTACCTTCACACCGAGGTAATCACCCAGCGCCCGCATCACCTTCTCAATCTGTTGAGCCAACTCCCTAGTGGGTGCTAAAACCAGAGCCTGGCATTGGACTATACCATAGTCAAGCTGCTGCAAAATTCCGGAGCAGAAAGTTGCTGTCTTCCCAGTTCCAGACTGTGCCT